GTTTTGCATTAAAAAAGTATTTTTAATTTTTAAAATTTTTAATGCAAAAAATACATGTTGTTAAACTGTATTATCATGAGGAATTAAAGTGAATATCATTGTAAAATATCATGTATGATAATTATATTAGCTTGCACAAAAAAAAAGTTTTCTCAGTAGGAACTAATTCATATTTGTCGAAATGAAGATTTGTGATAATTCCATATGTATTGGCATTGTGAATTACTATACCATTGTAAATATATTTTTTATTGATACTACATCAATGTAAATTTATTGTTCTTTATGTAGTGGCTGATATAGGCTATTTTTATCTATAATGTTGCATAAATAAATTATTTTTCTCAGTAGGAATTAAAATATTTTTGTCAATAGAAGTATTTTGCATTAACTAACAAATATAATTTCATGAATTACCCCTACATATTATCACTACACATGGTGATTATTTTTCATGTTCAACTGTCAAGTTAATTTTTAACCTTTTACATTTTAAAGTTGAACCATGGCAAGATCTGCAGAAGACCCTGCATGGCAACATGGGGTCAGACTTGATCCCAACAAAAATGAAAAAATTATTTGTACTTACTGCCAAAAAGTGATAAGTAGTGGGGTACATAGGTTCAAGCAACACTTGGCAGGGGTTAAGGGAGATGTTTCTGCGTGCAATAGTGTCTCTAATAATGTAAGAAAGCAGATGGCGGCATTTCTCAAGGCTACCAAAGGAAAAAAAATTGCAAGGCAGAGGATGGATGAGGAGATAGCTAGTTTATATACTCCATCAAGCGGGAATGATCTAGAAGAGCAATATAATAATGACTTGGAGATGGCTACAAGAATGAGTTTACATGAAACATACCAGAGGGAACGCGGGTTTAGAATGCCTGGTGGTTATGACATGGGCATGCATGGTGGGCCTAGCACAGACATGCATGGTGGGCCTAGCTCAGACATGCATGGTATGCCCAGATCGAGCATGTATGGCGGGCCCAGCTCAATATGTATGGAGGGGTTGGTGGCAATATGTATCAAGAAGAATTAAATGTTAAACACTAATACTTAGGGATTTGGGTACAGTCAGACGCCTGCTAATATCGATGATTCGTTTTTAGATCGAATCATTGAATTGTCAAACGAATTCAATCAATGGCACCAGCGTGACCAAGAAGAAGAACGACGTTGTCTGTCATTTTATTTTTAGATCGTATGTTACTAATTGTAGGCTTTATTGTAGTCCATGTATGTTGATATACTTATTCCATGATAATTCTATGTTTATCCTTTTGTGTGATGTAAATTAAATGATAAATAGTAGTTCATGCAGGGAAAGAACATATCAATATTCGTGCAAAGAAATGAAAATTCTTAATGGAGTACCCTCATTTCTTATTGAATTCCTAAAAAAATATATTTATGATGAATTTTAATAATTTTTTTGGAATTTTTTTGAAGCTTTATTCTGACCGATTCACGGTATTCCCAATCCGGATCGTCGATTCGCCGATCCGGATCGATTTTTGAGGTACACGATCCGGGTCACCGATCCGCTTTTGAACCATTGTCTAAAACAGTCTTCTAGGCATAGTACTTTACTTTTTATAATGCAATCACTGAAATTGGTTATATAGCTAATAGCTGTAGTTTAAAAAACGGATCGGTGGCCAAGATCGGGCACCACAAAAACCCATCTGGATCGGTGAATCGGCGATCCGGATTAGAAATCGGCCGAATCGATTGGATTAAGCTTTAAAAATTTCTGAAAAAATTGTTAAAATTCATTATAAATGTTGTTTTTAAGGAATCCAATAAGAAATGGGGGTACTACGTTATTAATTTTCATTTTTCCATCAATATGTGAATATTGAGATGTTTTTTCTCTGTATGAACTTATTTTGACTATTAAATTTACATCACACAAAAGAAAAATTATAGAATTATCATGAATGAAATATATAATCATAAATAGACTATAATAAAGAATGGTTTTAATCGATAAAAAATGGCCACCAAAATCTCGAATTGGTGGAGAACATTATATACTGAAATTGAACTTGTTGGTTTACATTTTATAATTATTTTATTATACAAATAATAACAAATTCAACCTCCTAAATATTTGTTGTATTACTTTTGATCCTTTTTTTTTGACAAAAACCTTTTATTTCTTAAGACAATAACTTTTATTTATTTTTTTATAAGAAATGCTTGTCGTATTACTTTTTTTTTTTTTTTAACGAGAACCTTTTTTTTTTTTTGCAAGGAATACTTGTTGTGTTAACCTTTTTTTTTTTTTTTTACAAGAACCTTATATTTTTTTACAATAAACTTTTATTTTTTGATAAGAGAAATAAATTATGTTGTATTACCTTTTTCTTTTTTTAACAAGAACCTTATATTTTTTTTACAATAAGCTTTTATTTTTTGACAAGAAATTTTTTTTTTGGTTGTACAATTTATTATTTTTTTTTTATAGGAACTTTATATTTTTAAAATATATATATATTTTTTTTTATAAAAGCCTTTTATTTTTTTTGTAAAAAAATTTATTTTGTAAAAAAGAAAAAATTAATTTGCTTGTGATGGAATGATGACACTTGGGCAGGAATTGATCCTACAACGTCCAGCGCACAAAGCAACGTTTTAACTACCACGTCAAATGTTTAGTTGTGATACAAAGAGGTCACTCAATAATTATATCTTATTTCTTTCTGAGCTATTACCTTAGCGTAATTGTCCCACATCGAACCCACAGAACAAATTTGGTAAGGATAAATAGTCTTCTACTACCAAAGCTAGTCGCGTGCGAAACGCACGTAGCAGTGTGGGTTTGTGATGGAGCACGTGTTTTTGACAATGGGTGCCCATTGTAACTCGAAAATTTACAAAAATACCAAAAATACCCCTTGTGACTCATGGCATCATCCGCGTGCACATAATCGGGCAATGGGTGCCTATTGTAACTCGAAAATTTACAAAAAATACCCCTTATGACTCATGGCATCATGCGCGTGCACATAATCGGGCGAGTCATGACATCAACCGGGCGAGTATTCATTTTAGAGGATTTTTAGAGTATTCATTTTAGATAAGTGGAGGATCAAAGCACCTTATCATAATGCTTTAAACGACAACCACTATAACCTATAAGATACGATTCTTAGCTACTCAACTCTACATGCAAATTGTGATCAAAGAAATCTTCCACAAGCTAAGTCTGTCGACCTTTTTTTGCTATAATTTTTAATCTCCAAGTGAAACTCTGAAACTCAAAGACTGATATAATTAATTCGGAAAAAACTTTGCTGCGAGATGGTCTTCACGGCGAGCTTTGTAAGAGGCGATAAGCTTATTGTAAGGAGGAAAGCTCTCCTTGAGCAGATCAATGCTTGTGAACTCTTCAAACCAAGAACGTAAGAGTGGCAATTTTTCAGAATCTATGAATTTTGTGCCAACTATTTCCCCAAGCACTTCTGACCAGATGCTTAGACTACTAGCGGCAATATCAACAAAACCGATTACTTCTCCACCAAAGAACCTCCCCTTAAGGCCCCCTTCCAGGGTTTTAAGAGCTTCTTTAATCTCCGTCATGGCCTTTTCTTGTTCCTCGCCGTCTGTTAAGAGAACCGTCTTCATTGGTGCCATACACTGTTTGAAGGGAACAAATAAAAATTGTGAGCCACTGATCAAGTTATCATGGGCAAGTATGGCTATCTTTGAAGAAAAACAAAATGGAAATCAGGTTATATGCCAAGGTTCAAGATAAATGTTCACATGCTAACATCAACTATTTTACAAAATAACTTGTTCTTCTCATTAATGCTCATTATGACATGAAAAATAAAAAGAGACCATAATATAAGACTTCACCATTGATGCATTAACAGCCTACTGGGAAAATGCAGAATTTGGAGCATGTCAAAAAGCTTGAAAATTTCTTTTGGACCTCGAGGCCAAAATATAAACCCAGCTATTAAATTTCACAGGGTAAAGATTAGGGTAATTGTGAGCTCTTTGTCCGAAAAATAATAATAATTATGACAGTTATTATGTATATACTTTTCCTCTCAAAGAAATTGCAGGGCAAATGGCCCAAATTGTTAACTTTACCTTCTCATCGATGAATTTGGACCAGAATCGAGCAACGGCCATGCCGTGGGGGTCTTGTGGCATGAGAGGATTTTCAGGCCATGTTTCATCTATGAATTCTAAGATCACACTTGATTCTGAAACCGGATTATTGCCATGAATGAGCACAGGGACCAACTTGTGCACAGGGTTGGATTCTAAAAGGAGGGGGCTCTTATTTTTGAGGTCCACTTCTATGTATTCATACTCAATTCCCTTGAGTTTGAGGGCGAGACGAACCCTATAAACAAATGGGCTTCTCCATGTTCCCAACAACCTCACTTTGTGCTCCTTCTTTGCCATTGCTAATTAGTGGTGCTCATGTTCTCCATTCTTTGCTCCATTTTATACCTGGAAACCCCAAAATTTGTGTCTTGCCAAAATATCAAGTTTGAAAATTTGTGGTATTGAGGTGGATTCAATTTTAACAACCCATGGTCAAAAGCTGTGGGTTGGTCCCTTAGAAAGTTTGAGCCACGTGGCATTTATGTCCTCTACCCTAAAAAATTGACACCCTCTCTCTCTCTCTCTTTCTCTCTCTAAATTCACTGCTTCTCTCTCGCAATTGACTTGCTCACCATTTACGTCACGGATGATAATACTAACAGATGATCATGCTGTGCATTTACGTCACTGATGATGTCACCGGTGCGATTAAGGACTCACTAATACAGCGTGTCATATCATTGGTGATTTGATTCTCTTTTTAATTTATGAAAAATGTTATTAAAGCGTTTAAAGTTTTAAAATTAAAGAATACTCTCAACTTTTATAAACTTCTTCCATACTTCACTTTTTTTTTCTTTTTTTTTTTTAATTTTGATATTATTTGTTACCAAAAATGACTTTAACGGTAGTCATGTTATATTGAATGCCCTATCGTAAAGTATTGTTATGCGGGAGCCATTACGGTAATACGTTTACGGCAAATGTTATTTTGGTAAAAAATAATAGTTGAGAGTTTTTTTTTCCAATTAAATGATAATTAATGTATATTTCTGATATTTTTCCGAGTTAGTTTGTATATAATTATTTGTATATGGTTGAGGCCCTAAATAATAAAAATAAGGCGTACTTTCAAATAGTATCAAACATATGTTTCACTAGTAGAAATCTTTGTAATAGCTTGAATATTTATTTTTATCTCTAATTATAAAATTTAAATTATAAAAAAATAATTTAGATGGAGCAGATTTATGAACATTTAAAGTCAAGATGATCAATTTGAAGATTTTAAGTCATCAAAACAAACCTCTTCTAGTGAATTTATGAGGTGCATCTTAGTGTGATTGTTTAGGGCCTCACCCTTGTTTAAACTTTTTCCTTTTTATATAAAAATAAAATGCACTTTCATATAACATAAAAGTAAATTGTGCTTGCAAATCCCATAAACAAAAAAAAAGTGATTCCAAAGCTGGAAAACTCTCCAATTGATCATTTAAGCTTTATATGTAAATATATAAAAAAAATGAATTTTAAGACAAAAAAAATGCATCTCATAATACATTATCTGGGTCAGGATTTTCAAGTTTTTATATTTGTACTCGAACTGCATAGTTTTGGATCGGAAAATTGTCTCATGCGGGCTGGACCGCATAACTACATATGCGATCTAAAAAGTATAAAGCATCCATCCTAAAGATGATGCAAGTAGGTGTTCCATCTAAAAACAATGGAAACTCACAGTCCAAATGTTTTCTTACTAAAATTATTATTTCTAGTTTTTAAAAGTTACTTATTTTTTCATATTCATGATCTTCATGTAATAGATTAGATTACATGCCCTTAAAAATTAAGTCTAAAAATCCATCTCAAAAATATATTTATTAATAAGCTCACATTTCTATATTTATTAATAAGCTCACATTTCTACATATGCAGGTTTGGTCGCATAGCAACCAGGTCCTTTTGGATCTAATTTGTCAACAAGGGATAAAATATATTTCCATGCCATTTTAAGTGTTTTCATTATCAAAACTGCATCTTTCAGCAGGGGGTTCACCATACTTTAATTGTTTAAGGTCGACACATAATATGTGAAGGGCTCTTGAGCACCCTTCGCTTGCAAGACCGAGAATCTCAAATATCGGGATCCCACCCTGTTGGGTTTATGTGGCATTTAAAAGCCTTATGAGTGCTTGTAAAATGAAACAATATAGTAGAACATGAACTCAATGGGAGTGTGGTCCCTTGTGAACCATACTAAACAAACGATGTTTGTTGGTACCGGACGGTGCTTGATGATCTAGGCCAGTCGGTTGGAAAACCCAAGGTATCTAGGCATAGAGAACAAATCGAGGATGGTTCTAAGTTATCATATGATGAGGTCGAAGCTTAGGCTTGGATGAATGAGCCGAGAGACTGTGTGACCCTTGTATGTGATGATGGGCATACAGAGACGGGGGAAAAAACCTCATCCATGATCCATCACACGGCATGCATATCGATAGATCATTAGGAAAAGCTAGATATCCATTTCTTAGGGTGAAGCGTATGCATGTACGAGAGATACTCCTATGTTCCATAGAGCTGTGTTCGCATAAGGTCTTGGTGGCCTTGATTCGTCTCTAGGGGAGGACCTGAAATCCACATACTGGGATTGCGACCCCTTGGCTCATCGATAGAACTTTAATGACCCGCTAATGAGCCTCTGCTTGAATTGTGGGTCATGTGAAACACTGGGTCGGTCTGATAAAGCAAGTGTAGTCCGTAGTTCACAGTTAAAGGTGGAATGCCCCATGATTGTTACTTCAATTCTTAAACCATATGGATCTATTTCACATCATATTAATTGAATTATATTTATTTTATAATAGAAATTATTTTAGAATTATTATTTGAATTTTTATGAGTCTTTTGATATTTTATTTATAATTTTTGGACTTATAAAAATAAAGTTATTGATTTTACAAAAGTATAAAATTCAAATAATATTTTAGAAACTAATTTGTTAAATATCATGGGGGCTCATAGTGCATATAGGCCCACCATGTACCATTTGGGTGGGGCCCAACGTGCCACACATGGGTGGCATGCCCAAACTCTTGGTTGTTTGCTTTGTTGCCAAGTTATTCAAATTTAGAAACGGTATATTGATGTCATTAGTTATCTTTTTCTCTTTATTGAATCTAGATCCAACTTGGAAATGAGATATATGAAAGCTAATGACCTTTGTGGTCAAGTAATATACCCACAGTTAATAATTATTGGAAACACAAAAAATGCACTCTGTATAATGGGCATTCTGAGCTATTTTGGAGCAGTGATATGAATAAGATCATGATGTATTTTTCTATTGCATACCCATTAATATTGTGTCTTTGAGAGTAGGATCTACCTACAAAATTTCAGTAGGAGATCCTAAGGGAATTGAAAGTAATGGACTCATCAATGAAGGGAGTCAATTCTAACCCTGTAAAATCTAGGAACTATCTATTGAGTTCCGTGATTTTTTCCACCAATGATATGATTTTATTTCTTGCTGAATTTTTGTTGTAACTCATAAATTGAGTCTAATTTCAAGAAAAAAACGTTTCATCAAGCAATTCCTTATGATTTAAAAGATATGATTGATTTATTGAAAGATGCGCAAGTGTTGTTTTCTACAACGAAAATTATTTCCATGATTTAGAAGTCAAGATTTTATTTCTATTATTAACAGAATGTTTTATAGCTCACACTAAATTTTAGAATTCCATTCTGAGTCTAGTTTTTAATAAAGTTTGTTGCAGATAAAAATATCTATGGGAAGAAAGGAATAAACATTTTAGATTGAAGAGAGGTCATCCTGAATTTTCTACAATTTGGTATGTCCTTCATTGAAGGTGTGAATAACTGTATTTATCAAGCCTACTTAACAGAGTGATATAAGGCTTGTGGAAATATATGTGTTACTATTATGTGTCTACTTTTAAAAAAAATTGGTTTGAAAAGGAAACTCCATGATAGTAGAGACAAAAGATAATTTCACTAGATAGTATTCATCCTGTAGTGTGATTTATTTTATGACATGACTGTCACTTAGTTATTTCTTTAAAGAAAATTATTATTTGGGACTTATACTATAATGTTATGATTTAGTTTTGAGTTTAGCGTTCAACACAAAAGATTTCAAGAAGAAATTCTTTGAGGATGAGAGAAACAATTTTTTTATTGAGAGGTGTTCAACCTGACTTTCAACTGAAAAAATTGCATTGTGATGTAAATGTCACTAAAATGAATACTCACTAAACGGCATGATTTAAGGATGGAACTGAGTCTTATTTTATATTTTTTGAGTCTATTTCAATACTCAAAAGTATTCGAATATTAACTTTTTATGAGTTGAGAGATATCATATTTTTATCATGGGATGCTCAAGTTCTATTCTGCAGTAAATTAAAAAGATGTGGCATGTTAGGACACATCTTTGGATTCCTAATTATGGAGACATTTTTTAGGGCTCATAATAGTGTGCTATGAGTATGGTTTATTATAATAAAACTTCAGAGATAAGTGATACAGAGTTAGAAAGATATGACACTCTATGTGAAGAGTATTCGATCTGGGAATACCATAAAAAAAAAGAAACACAATACCTATAAAAGCATATTGGTTTCTTCGAAATGAAGGGATATAAAGAGAGATTTAGTGGTAGCATAGAAACGCTATAGATTAGTGGGAGAATTGAAATTGTGATATTTAAAATAATGGGATGGATAAGAGATTTTCTTCACGGTATAAGACAGGAGAATCCAAATACCGAAGAGATGGACACTTCGTGACATGTGAAACCGATAACAAATATATTCTCTATCAGTTGCGTGCACTTCTAATATCACAAAAGCTTGTCAAACAAGTAAAAACGATGAATCAAGAAAACCCATGTACTACACTACATGGTTTTGAGGTATGAAATCTATCCCACATTACATGGTAATGTCATATAGGGAAAGATGATTCAATAATTTTATTCAATATGCTTTGATTATATTTTGGCTAATTGTTTTATGAATATGTATGGAGTGTATGGACATTGAGTGATAAGTGCTAATCAATTTGAAAGAGCCGGTTGTGAATACCTTGTGTTTTTGTGCCTCCTTGTGCTTGAGTATAAACTACTTAAGGTAGTGATATACATGGAGATGTGATTTGATTAAGGGCTTTGAGCCCTAAGCATGAAACACGAGATATGGGTGTGACTTATTCAAATATGTAAGTACAAAGGGAGTGTTTTGTTGGAATTCGTTCTTTTTGACCATCCTCTCAATAATGTATATAATATGATGTGTTGCATGTAATGATGATCTATTGATAAATTCTCCAAAATTGTCAAAAAATAAGTATTTTGTCAAGACTTTAATAGACATTTTTTAATCATGCTTT